CAACTAGTTTTTTTAGTCACTTTTGGACAATGAGGGATATCATTTTCCACTTGAAGTTCTTACGTTCACTGGGTGATCAGGTGGGTGATGGGTTTTTTCGATCATGCTCATGGTTTCTGTAAATGTGATTTCAGGAAGCCTTTGGAAAGTATCTTGATTTGCATGAATTATATAATGACTACATCAACTCAAAGTTCGGGGAGCAAATTGAGTACTCTGCTTATGTTGATATTTTTTCTGACACAGGGAGGATATCCCGCAAGTTAAAGTTGACCAGGTAAAGTAATAATTTGCTATTTTAAGCTCCATATTCTCCCTCAAAGGTGCTGCATTATGTCCTACATAATAAGATATTTGGAATTTTGGATATGAAAACTGAAAGGATATTAAATAAAATTTGGCTTATGGTTCGACACCGTGTACTGCCTTCCACATAAACACAAAATGTATATTGCTTGTCATATCTCCCACATTTATGTATAAATGTGCATTCTTTTGGGGCCATTCTAGGATTCTTAGGGTGTATATGCATTCTTTTGGACGTCTAGCAGCTTAATGTCTTTCTTGTACATGGGAATAAGGGCCTTTTTTTCTTGCAGTGACCTTTCTCTTTGAATAGGTTTGCTTGTTTGTTATAGTTAGTCTCTTATCTCTCTTTTTGTTTGCAACAGGCAATACAGGGAATATATGCAGAAACTTCTGGAATATCTTATATACTTTCTTGAGCGTACAGAACCTTTGCAAGATCTTGAAAGAATATTTTCAAAGGTTTGCTATGTGTTCGTTGATAAAAGTTTCCTTTTCTTAGTCTTGACCTCTAGGATCTAAACCTGACTTTGCCTTATTGAACTTCTCTAGCTTTTTCCTCTGAACCTTCAATAGCGATCTTACCAAATTTTGGCTCAGAGCCACGTGTCCCTATCAAAAGAATCCATCCTTTATTATTTTGTTGATTGCTTGACACCGCTGAGCAGCTGCCTTCTTAATACCTAATAGAGCTTCACCATGAACAGGTAAATGCTGAATTTGAAGAGCAGTGGAGCAGTGGATTGGTAGAAGGATGGGAGAATGAGAATCTTGCCAATGGCAATGTCCAACAACAGGATGCTGTAATTGATCTCGATTACTATAGTACTCTTGAACAGCTAATGGAAGTTGGACTTGACAAATTAAAGGAGGTACGTCTAATATTTTATTGGATGAGTTTATGTCAGTTTCTGTATATATTTTAAATAACTGAGTTAATTCCAAACTGCGCTTTTTGCTTCCAAAACGAGGCCATCCTGCATTAGGAAGTTTCATTCTTTTTATCGGAACATGTATTTAATGAAGGATTTGAGAGTGGCTGACGGAAAACTATTACTTCTAAAACTAATTAAATACTTATGAAGTGGTTGGGCAACTTCATACGATCATGGTCTTTTTGCGCTTTATTAACCATAGTTATCATTGTATAACTATCTGAAACTGTTTAACTACTCATGTATTCTTACTGCTCTGGTTATTGCTTGTAAATTTGTAAGTTACAAAACTGCATTTTTATTAGTAGCTAGCATGTGACCTGCTTATGTTCATGTTGTTACTGATACTACTTGCTGTAGGCATTGTCTGTGCTTGGTCTGAAGACGGGAGGTACACTACAACAGCGTGCGGAAAGGCTCTTTCTCACAAAGGTCCGGGCATAACCTCTTTTCTTTTTCTTTTTTCTTTATGTGATTCTCAAAACTTTCTATTTGTTTGTTCGGTTCTCGATAGAAGTTGAATATAGTGTCTCCAAATTGAATTCCACTTTATTTTCACACTAAATGTGGTGAACTCTGCCTATGATCATTTTGAAGATTATACGTCCTCATCATCTTCACCATTTTTTTCTTTTTTTGCAGCATACACCTCTTGAAAAGCTGGACAAAAAACATTTTGCCAAAGGTTCTAATGGGCCCAAGAAAAATGGTGGTGCTGTGGCCCCACAACCCAGTGAAGATGCAAAAGAGATAGCTTTGATGGAAGCAAAAATGAAAAAAATATGTGACCTCTTGCATGAGGTAAGCTTCCTATCTCCTGTCTGAATCCCATCCTCTTTCATTCTTACCCGTCTGTGTTCTCTAAGCTTCTTCATTCTCTAAACAGTTGCTAATGCGTTATGCTTTCTTGATTTCCCGCAGACAATTGTACGAACAAAAGAAAATATTGAGAAGAAGCATGCCATGACATATGATGAAATTGTTCAAGAACGTGAAGAGGTACCATTTCTTTCAAACCCTGCAATCTCACATGCAGAACTGAGTTAAATAAAACAAATTTACTTCCCATGATGCATAGGGAAAATAGTTCAAGTCGAACATGTGTAACAATGGCCGTGCGATTTGACTATTAATGACCTTTGACTCATTGAGCGCTCTTGCTGTATTCTTATTGTCTCTTATGAGCATGCACCTCCATCCGTCTCTTCGCTTTTTGCTGATGGCATGTTAAATACGTAATAAAAATTTACGTCTAATTATTATTCAGTCTGCACTATTATTAGACACGTTCTTGCCATTAATTAGTTCTTGGTGGGCTGACCTTTTAATTCTGTAATCAGGATGAAGCGCAGCCCGAGTCTGAAAGTGATGATGAAGATCAGCAAATCTACAATCCCTTAAAACTACCCATGGGATGGGATGGAAAGCCCATACCCTACTGGTTATATAAGCTTCATGGGCTTGGTCAGGTATCATTAATTTTATCAAGTGCAGCTTGATTTTAATTGATACAACCATATAAATAATCAATAATTTTTCAGCTTATTTGTTGGTCACAGCACAAGTTAGTGTGAATGTTACCTCATAATTAGATAATCAACTACTGACAATTTGCTTTCATCAATATAGTAGAAAAGATAATGATGGACTATTAAAAAAAAGAACAGCGAAAAAAAAAAGAAAAAAAAAAAAGAAAGGAATGCATGTTAAGTGCATTCCTCATGGTCTTACCAATCTTTTACTCACTAATGAGACATGCTTGAAAACATTAACAGGAGTTCAAATGCCAGATTTGTGGAAACCACAGTTATTGGGGTCGCAGGGCCTATGAACGTCATTTCAAGGAGTTCAGGCACCAGCACGGGATGCGTTGTCTTGGAATTCCAAATACTAAGAACTTCAATGAAATTACATCGATCGAGGTATCTTTTTTAAGCATAATTTGCATTCTCATCATAATTTATTTCTACAGCATCAACTTTTGTTCAAATTTTAATCACATTTTTATTTTTATTTTTATTTTTATCCACAGGAAGCAAAACAGCTTTGGGAGAAAATTCAGGAGAAACAAGGCCTGAACAAGTGGCGCCCAGACCTTGAAGAAGAGTACGAAGATCAAGAAGGAAACATTTACAACAAGAAGACGTACAATGATCTACATCGTCAGGGTTTGATTTGAATTGAAAAAAAAAAATCGTGGATTTTTGTGAACTGGTGTTGGAGAGGCCAACTCTTTTTTTTTTTTTTTTTTTNGTCCAAAAGGGGAATGAAAGTGGAATCATATTGCTTGAGAGGCTTGAAATCTCCAGTTTATGATAGTGTTATTGTACTCAGTTAGGATGAAGTTCATTTTCCTTTTCATGTACTATTTGATGCACCTTAAATTATGTAGACCCTGCAATCTTTTGTCCAAGTTTTGGCCATACAGACTTGTTATGCAAACCATGAAATTGGCAATATACATTTCCATCTCATTAGGTAATCAGTATGAATTATGAAAGGTATGTAGCCAACTCCCCCTGTGAAACAAATGTTTCAGTATTGTTCCAGCAACTAAAATTTTCATTTCGTGTTTCAATGCGTTCTGTAATCGTGTTTTTTAATTTCTCATATTATGTCAGTCAATGTTCGTATTTCGTATCGTGTTAGTCAGTCAATATCATATCTGGACTCCAAGCACTTCAGTTGTATCCACAATGGAGGGGACTATATTGCATTATCAACAATCTTAGATTCACTATTCACAAGTTTGCACACTTGCATTATCAACAATCTTACATTCACTATACACAAGTTGACCTCACTTATTATCAACACCTCATTCACAAAAGGACCTTATGAACAATACTGCCGAGCCATTCACACTACGAAGCACGAGTAACCTAGAATCAACATAAGTCCCACAAACAATCTTCGACAAATCAAACAATTCCGGTGGCAATTGGGTCCTCACCTCTCGAACAACATTTTGCGCGGCCCCAACATCTCTACTCAACGGCTCATCCATACTCATCGTGATATCGACATCACTTGTAATGAGCTTAGCCACGGGAAGGCTCGAAGGGAACTCCTTTAAAGGCACAATCTTTCTCCATTTTTTGCTCGACAATTTTTCCAATATGAAATCTCTAGCGTCGGGTGAATAGGCCGAATTGATTCGGTCGGCAGTTTTTTCATTTATGTAAAACCGTCTTCCGGCTCTCAGCTTCGAAGGAGAGGTCATCTGAAGTTTACCCTTTGTGCCTTTCTTGTCGAGGGCCCAGTCAAGACTGGGCATGACTGTGAAGCTAACGTCTGATTGGATGGAGAAAGTTGCATGTGGTTTAGAGAGCTTGGTTATAGTTAAGTGGGCTTCGCTAATGAGAACTCGGGTTGTGGGCTGGCGAAGAGTTAATCCTATTTGGCGGCCCGTGCTGTATAATAAACGCCATTTTCCGGGAAGGAGTTCCAGCCATTGCTGAATAAATCCAGGCAAGATATTATAAATTTATAATTGTGTTAATCACAAATTGCTCCTAATGTTTGCCTAAATGAAAAAAAAAAACATAATAATAACAAGAATAAGTGAAGTAGACATATTTTTACCCTTGGCTTTGAGTGAGGATTTAGCATCTCCATTAGTTCAATGATATGTGCTATTCTTCTTCTCTGAATCATAAGAGAAAATAATAATAATAGTAACACAATCTTGATAATGAGCCCGAACTTTTTCATGGAGTACCACAAGTACACTATATTATATATCAGGCTTTAATTACTAAAGGGAGTAGAGGCAAAACCTGTTGCTGACGGTAAATGTATTCCTCTGTGATTCGAACTGCCGTTGAACCCAGGCTCCATCTGATCATGTCCATTGTAGGGTCAACACGCCATTTTGGTCCACACAAGAAAGGATGCCTCAAAGCATCTAAACAACTGTTGAATCACAAAAATTCAAATCGATTATAACATAAGATTTTTGGTTTGAGCAGTTAAACACGCATACGAGATTTTTTTTCATACGTTTATTCAGAGGTAGGCCACTAACATCGAAATCAGTTACCTTATTCTCTTTGAGGGATTTGTAGCAAGAAGTAGAGAGAGTAAATTCCAACCTGCACCCCATTTTCTATCAAGTATCTGCAAAAGGTTTTGTGCACCATCACATCTCGTTTCCTTTTGGAATTAAAAGAACCAAAGGAGTCCACCAAATGTGAACATTCCAAAAAAGAAAAATAGGAAAAAAAAAAATCGTCTACTTACTTGGAACCCAACATTTTCAGCGGACGAATTTCTATCAACAATATGCATCAAAAACTCACGCAAGCATGAAGG